TTTACTATTGATGTGTGAGTATGGATCTTTTGCCACTTTTGATCCTTCCTATCGTTTATCCAGCCAATTTTTGCTGAATAAGTGACGAGAAGGAACAAATGTGGGAATGAATTTGTAGTTGTGCACCAATTGTGAAATAAGGTGGAAGCTAAAAGTGAAAACAATCTAATATTCGTAGGAACAAAAGTGTAATATTAATTCTAAAAAAAGTGTAATATTATTTCTTTTATTTCTTATCCAATGCAAATTTCTAAACGTCCTCTAACATGAAAGTCATTTGGATGTTGCAGTTTTTTATCCGGTTCTTGCAGATGAGAATATTTTGAGGTTGATTTATGATGTTGGAGGCTTGCATACTAGTTGGTACATACTAGTTGGTAGAGATATTGAATGTCCAGACTGGTCAACAATTTGAGAGTTAATCTCAAATTTGAGCACAATGCTGAATTACAGACGTGCCATCATGTTTTTAGCAATTTTTGTCTATTTTCTTTTGAGCAACAGTCTTTGCTATTGTCTTCAGAGTGATATTGATTGTCTAAAATCAGTAAAGTCTACTTTGCAAGATCCACAAAGCAGCTTGGCTGATTGGGACTTTAATAACAACACTGAAGGATTCATATGTAGATTTACAGGGATTGAATGCTGGCATCCTGAAGAAAGCAAGGTTCTCAACATCAAACTTTCTGATATGAAACTCAAGGGAACGTTTCCAATTGGTCTGAAGGATTGTAAATCTTTGACTGGATTGGATCTTTCAAGGAATCAAATCAGTGGGTCTATTCCATCAAACATCTCCAAAATCCTTATTTTTGTGACCACCCTTGATCTCTCATCCAACCAATTATCAGGACAGATACCTGAAGACCTTGCAAGATGCTCCTTCCTGAATGCTATTAAACTTGAAAACAACCAGTTATCTGGTCAAATACCTCCTGAACTCGGTCAGCTTGGTCGAATAACCACATTTAGTGTGGAAAATAACCGTTTGAGCGGACCTGTCCCGAGCTTTGGAAACAAAACCACACTAAGCTATAACAATAATGTAGGACTATGTGGGGCCCCATTTTTGCTTCAGTGCAAGGTTGTGTCAAAGAAAGCAAACTCTGGATTGATTGCTGGTGCGGCTGCTGCTGGGGTTTCTGTTGGAATTTTATCCTTGGCTATTGCGATGTACTTCTACTTCCGTAGGACATATAGGAAAAAGGAAGAAGATCCCGATGGTAATAGTTGGGCAAGGAGTATTAAAGGCGCCAAATCCATCGAGGTAAGATATTTATTTTTCTCATGCGTTTTCATTATTATAATAATGTGTTCATAATTTATAGAGTAACTTTGACAAATACATACAGATTTAAAACATTGGTCAAATTCCAATATCTTTGATAAAAAATGTCAAATGTGGCTAACAAAAGTGAGACGTGTGAGTGTCTTAGTATTCGCACTTGCTATTATTATGATATCGCTCTGTTTAAATTCATGGGGAGAGCAAAATCGCTACTATTAACATGGACATCTTAATATTATTTTATCTTAGCAATACAAGAGATGTTGAAATTGATGATGGTAAAACAAAATCGCTTGGTATTAGAGTGACTTATTTTCAGAAAAATAAGTGTTTCTTATAGGAAAGTACTTTAACATAAAAAAAGCGTCCAGCAAGGAAATGAAAAGGCGCTTTTAAATCTAAAAACTTTTAAGAAAAGAGATTTTTAGAGAAGTAAGAGAAACACTCATGGTGCATGTTGCGTACACACAAGTCCCTATCTTTTTATACTATTTTAAAAGTCTCTAAATGCTTTCAGTTGTATCACTTGTATGGTTGACACAACAATTTTTAAAATCTTTTTTAAAAATTTAAGATTTCTTTAGAAGCTAGACTGAGTAGAAACTGAGAGAAAGCTTGTAGCTTTTATCCTTAATTAGACAAACAGAAATGGAACAATCAATTTCTATCACATAACTACAACCTTTTTCTTTTAAGATATTTCTATTCACTAAAAACTACTCCGTAATAATTACTATAATGCTCACAAAAGTATATATTTTCCACTAGTTGTGCCAAACATATCCTTAGTGATTAAATGAAAAGCACTTCTTATATAAGCACTCATAGAATAGTCATTATAAACGGTCTTTTAATCTGTTCATTTTAAGTTTGATCCTTTTTTTCCTAACAATAAAACCCTTCTTTCAGCTTTCCATGTTCGAGAAGTCTGTTTCAAAAATGAGATTAAGTGATCTCATGCAGGGCACTGACAACTTCAACAAAACCAACATTATTGGGTCTGGAAGAACTGGGACTCTTTACAAGGCAGTTGTTGCAGATGGCACATCTTTCATGGTTAAGAGATTACAAAACACTCAGCACTCTGAAAAAGAATTTGCATCTGAAATGGCAACACTGGGATCGGTTAAAAATCGCAACTTGGTCCCTCTTTTCGGATTCTGCATAGCAAAGCAGGAAAGGCTGTTGGTCTACAAGTACATGCGCAACGGAACTCTGCACAGCAAGTTGCATGATCTCAATGATGGAGAAAAACCGTTGGATTGGACTTTGAGATTGAAAATTGCGATTGGGGCGGCAAAAGGGTTCGCTTGGCTCCACCACAACTGCAACCCGCGGATCCTCCACAGAAACATAAGTTCCAAATGCATCTTATTGGACGAAGATCTTGAACCCAAGATATCTGATTTCGGGCTCGCCCGGCTCATGAACCCGATTGACACCCATTTGAGCACCTTTGTAAATGGCGAGTTCGGGGACTTTGGCTACGTCGCTCCTGAATACTTTAGAACTTTGGTCGCCACTCCGAAAGGAGACGTTTACAGCTTCGGAGTTGTGCTGCTTGAGTTGGTTACTGGAGAGGAGGCCGCGTTTGTGAGCAAAGCCCCTGAGAGCTTCAAGGGCAGCTTGGTAGAATGGATTACCATTCTCTCCAGCGAATCTAGACTTCAAGATTCAATCGACGAGTCTTTGTTGGGGAAGGGGTGTGATGATGAGGTTGTCCAGGTTCTTAAGGTTGCTTCTCGCTGTGTTCTACCTGACGTTCCCAAGCAGCGGCCGTCGATGTTTGAAGTATACCAATTTCTGAGAGCCATCGGGGAGCCTTACAATTTCACAACAGATGACGGTGACATCTTCTTGCCCCAGGAGACTGACGATGGGTTTCGCTTGGATGAACTTATCGTTGCTCGAGAGAGGTGAAAAAAGGTATGCGAGACTGTTGGTTTTAGTGGATGGGATATAGATTATATGATTTGTAGTTACGTGTTATAGATCATCCTGAAATAATAAATAGTCTTCTTAGATTACAAACAATAATAATTGTCTATAAGTTTTGTTTGTCACTGCACTATAGGGTACTATGCTAATGTATTCAGCTTATGATTTCTTGTATTGTAGATTGAATTCCTCAGTTAGAAGGATTAATTCCAATCACCATTTTTGTCAAATCCCTATTTTAGCCTTTAGCAACAATTTCTAAGCACAAGAGCAGTAAAGGAGATTTTTGCATACTGTTTAATGAAAAAGCCCTTATCAATCAAACCAAACAATGAAAGTTTAATAGAGTGGGGAGAAGCGAAATATAAAGTGGAACTATCAGTAAAGTAAGGAATGCTATATCATATTCTAGAGGGATAGCGTGTGTTGGAATTGAGTGCAAGTGTAGCTAAGCACTGCCTTGTGAATACAAGAAAAGAAATGTAAAGCGTGGCCTAACCATTAAGGAAGCAAGTGAAAGAAAACAGAGACTAATATAAAAAGATCCAGTCTAACCTTGGATTGGGGATTTGGGAAATACATGATAAACACGTCAAAGATACAGGGCACAGGGCACAAAGCAATCAAAATGACGCAAAACAATTTTTCCGAGTTACCGTTAGCAGCCTGTAGGTTGTGGCTTTGAAGGACTCAATAATTGTAATTGTATTTAGTTCGCAATGAGAATTTAATCCTTTTAGTTTATTATTACTATTATTATTATTCTTAATAATGTTATTTATGTATTCGTTGTGAACTTGTGATGATCATTGTATAATTATTTGGAATTTTATTATTCAATGACCTGAAAGATAGGTTCACTATCAATAAGAGAAATAAAGTGTGTGAGTCGTGTGACTATAAGGCTCGAATGATTAAAAACTATCAATAACACACAAAACTCAAAGGTCGGGATTCTACCGATTGGCATTCCTGTATGCTTTCAGTTTCAATAACACAAAGCCCCTCATAGGATGGTATCATGGTACCATTGTTTGGATACATTCAATAATAAGAGGACCCGCACATAGGTTCAAATGAAATCTTCAAAGCCTTCAATTTCCCACTTCTAATTTGCTATTTGTTCAGTTCAGTTTGGTGATAGTTAAAGAGGCAATAGAAAGTGCAATAGGTAAAAGAAAAACAGGGAGTGGAAAAAGTACAGAACGGCTTAGGGATTTAGAATGAGTTCATGGAAATAAGAACGTTGAAACTAAACACAATCATGTCTTTTAATTGACGCACCTTTTTTTTTTTTGAACCCAGAGTTGACCAACCAAAAGAGGTTGGCGTAGGAGCTGGGGAACATCCTACCTGTTTATTGAAATGGAGTGAAAGTACAAGGTAGGAGGACATAGAGCCAATGCCTACCCCAAAGATTAGTAAAGATAAGGATAACTAATGGCATCAAATTTAAGAATCCCTACAAATTGATTAAAAAGCACGTGGTTTAATTTAAGGGAGACATTCTTATACGCAACAAATTCTGCCGCTCTATTACATTTGGAATTGATGGTGTCAATTCTCCAACAAAAATTTTTCAAATTGCGCCTGATTTGTTTTACATGAGCCCAATATCTCCAATGGTGAGTGATGATCCCTTGGATTGCCTATTGTACCTGCAAATTTTCAGTCTCTATCACAATGTTAGTTGTGGTAGAGATCGGAGATAAGGTAAAGATATTAGTCAAAGCATTGTAGAGGGCTTCAGTATAATCATCAGTCCTCATGATGCAGGTGGAGTGTGCAATATAGACCCCTTTTGCATTACGAATCAAAATGCCGGTACGAAGGATGGAGTCAGAGAGAGGTCTAGTGGCAAGGCTGATCTTGATAAAGGAGGCAGGAGGCTTGAGCCACTGTCCTTTAATGGGGGGTTTATTGGTACGAGGAACAGTACATATATTAATAGCAGGGAGGTGATTATTAAGGCGGCTGAGAGGTTTGGCAACCGAAAGCTGGAATAGTTCATTAGTTATAGCAGCAACAGCCTCAACATATGAGGTGGTGTTATCATCATACAGAAGGTTGTTACGAATCTTCCATAATTGCCAACAAATAAGATTAGGAATGATAAAACTAAGCTCCCGAACACTGCCTTTATAATCATTATACCACAAGTGAAGAAAAGGGATGAGAGAGGAGGACAGGTTGATTTGGAAATTTAGAATATTACCAAAGTGTAACCAGACTCGGGAGCTGGTGTGACATTGCATAAAATAGTGATCAATAGTGTCCTCATGATTACAAAAAGGGCATTTAAAGGGACCAATGATCCCGATTTTTTTTAAATTATATTCAAAAGGCAGAATATTGTTGATTAATCTCCACATGAAGAAGGAGATCTTTTTGGGAGTACCACCATTCCAGATGTACTTGGCAGCACTATTAAGATCAGTATTCTTTCTCATGACATCATAGGCACTGCTAAAACTAAAATTACCATTACTATTCGGTTGCCAAAGGAGCTGATCCTTATTATCAGAAAAGGTTATGTGTTTGGCACATATGGTAGTAGTAACATGAAGGGGCAGCGGGCAACATTGTTAATCAGATTACCATTCACAAAGGCATCAACAATAGAAATATTATTAAGACTAACGGGAATGTCCTTTAATTGACGCACCTATAATGTTATATTTCCATGCATTCGAACTTTGGTCAATGTGCATTATTGTGTACGGCAACCAAAATAATTTCAATCGACCATTCGACCATCGATCATGTTCAATTTACCATATTTTTAGAGCAGTATTATATAAACTTGAGTTTCGAGTCTACCTCTTTTCTTAATTTAAGCTTAACCTTATCTTTAGAAACCAAGATCTAATATTTTACCAGATCGTATAAACATAAATTCCCACACGGAAATACGAAGTAATTTATAGTCAAATCTCGTATGCTTTACGTTTTTCCTTTACTAAGTTTACTGCCATTTTTGGAGATGATATACTCCGTATTGTTTTGGTTTTGTATTTCCTCCAGTGAACAGTTTCCTTTAAAAAATAATCTCGTGCATAAAACGGAACTAACTGTTTCCATCATTTTTAATGAGCCAAAGACTCACTATTTACTTTTTGGCTCAAGGTAAAGTAAAATAACTCATTAAGCTGTCGGCACTTCTTTGTTATGAAATAACAATCAGCTCATACAATCAGGGGAGGAGCCAGGACGAGGGTTCAGGCTGGGCCGGTTGTAAACTAAAAACACCATATAAAAAATTTAGGCTAAATGAAAACTATAAGCTTATAGTACGTAATATCATCTTTATACCCCGTTTTCTTTCGCTAGTCCATGTCCGTTTGATGAATTGTACCCCGTCTTTCTCTGTTTTTCCGGATCTTGCTCAATTTTAACCGCATCAGAAAGTAATTCTTCCCAAACGGGTGAAATAATTGGAGTTTCAATCAAATCATTTAACTATTATTTGTTTTATGTATAATGTATTCATAGCTAGTAGGCTGAAAAAAATAATGCAGCCCGATCATCGTCCTTTTTTAATCGTCAAACCGGTAAATATATTAAATCAACAAAGCGTTCGTCGCATGGCTGCTAATACAATCAAAGAAAAAGCAGGAAACAAAACGATAAAAAGCCTTTTGTCTGTTATCCACCCTTGAACCGGACTTAGAATTAGACCTGCACAAACGCGGGTTCGGATCGGGCTCGGGCCGGGCTTATTCTAAAAAATCTGCTCATTTGTAGTGGGCGGGCCCGGCCCGGTACAACGGGCCTCCTCATATGTCCAAGCCCGCCCAAAAGAGCGGGTCGGGCTGCCCACTGGGCTTTCGGGCCCGGAAAAATTATCCTCTTTCTATTTTTTTTTTAAAAAATCGTAAACGTTTGTAAAAGACTTATGAAATACACACACGTTTCTGAAAAATAAAAACCATTCAAATTTAGAACTAACATCAGTATTTAAAAATTTAATCACAATGTGCAAACAATAATTAAAAGTACAATAAGAATGTGCAATGAGAATAGTCAAAGCATAAAAGTATCTCAAAAGACTTGATAGGTGTCCAGTACAAAACAGTTCAAGTTTTAACTAATACGGAGTACTACTTTATTGGTCCGATCTAATAGCAGTAGCTTGGCTAAGGTTTCATGTTGGCCCTTAATGATAGTAATTTTTTGTGTATATATATAAAATATAATTTATATATATAATTATATATAATATATATACACACATTTAACGGGCCGGGCTTTTAGGCCTGCCAGGCCTATATTAGAATCCAAGCCCGCCCATAATTTAAGCGGGCCCGGGCCGGTCCGGGCCGGTGGGCTAAACTGTGTGTCCAAACCCGCCCATTTATATGGGCGGGCCGGCCCGGTTTTGTGCAGGTCTACTTAGAATCTATCACCTTGTAGAAGCAATAATATTCGTTGATCCTGTAATGGGCATAATTGAGTCAATGACAAGCAAACTAGACTTCTCATCACCTCACTTAAATTCTAGGAAATAAGAACACGTCCAAAACAACATGCAATTCGTAAGAAAAACACAAACAGAATAAAACGGAATTAAAACAGAGTTCACTCATCTTCTTCCAAACTCTAGACTCACCGTCATTCAATGACGTCGGCTCGGGAGGAGGATGCGTCCGCCGCTCATCCGCCTCAATAGCCATGATTGTGTATTGATTGACGATATCCTCCATTGATATCCCTTGCTGTTGAATCGAACCCAAGTTCCGTCATAGCTTATTCTCCTTTTCTTTATCAACACTCAACCTTCGACCAAAAACAATAGCAGAAGTTGAGCCCTGACCGCCAAAGCAATGCATCCCTGATCCCGAGCCTGCTTTCAGGATCGAAACCAACCGACGAACGACGACTGCTCTTCGCCAATGACGAACGCGGAAGAACTAAAACCTAACTCATAGGGAGATGACCATCCACTAATAGCAATTGTGCTATTGAATGATTGAATTACGCACAAAAACTAACTGTGACAATGATAGAGAAGTCGCTGATCTATTTTGCCGCTGTGGAAGGACTCTCTCACTGTGGAAGAAACCATGCGGCGTCCGATCATCATCCTTTTAGAAGTAGATTCGGTAGTCATATAATTAAATTGACAACAATTAATAGTAGATTCGAAATATATTATTTTGAATCACATTATTCATAGTATTGTGTAAAAAAGACAGAATTCTCATTTTCAATTTCACCAATGAATACCAAGACAAAAATTATTCACCAAAACTAGAAAAAATTCACATTTTACATTGTAAAAACTCATATAAGTAAAAGAACTGGAAGAAATTCACATTTTACATTGTAAAAACTCGTATAAGTAAAAGAGCCCAGCACTCGATCTCAGGAATCACGATTCCAACTTCCATGCTACGAAAAATTAGCTTCTTAAATTACGGAGTAACATAAAAAGCTTACCTGCTGCCAAGGGGCAGGCCAGATGGGGCTGGGCGATTACGAGAGCTACATTAGAGGTGAACTTTTTTTTTTTGCATCGGGCCTTTCTACTTTGGGCCATTTTTTTTCGCATCGGGCCAATTTCTAAAAAAAATTAAACATTATATAAAATGAAAATGAAAAAATACCCGTGGCCAGGGCCCAGCCAGGCCTCCCCCTCCCTCCGCCCCTGCATACAATTATCGACGTGATTGTCATCATTGATCATCCAGAATAGTCTCTCTGAGTCTCCGTGCTTTAGTACAAGAGTAAAACTGAGTACATCTGGCCCCATTGGTACAACAATGAGTATATGAAATCGGCTACGACAACGGGAATTGGTTTTCGCATGCAAGTCCTCCTCCCCCTCCCCTCGTCTATTTTTGTTCTCTCTTCATTTTCTAAACAACTTGTTTTCAGTGTGAAAATGTCACGATTCTCGATATAAAAATCTCATAATTTGATCATAGGATGACACGATTTCAATATGAAAATTTCACGATTTATTTGGAAAAGTCATAATTTTTGGAAAAATCTCGTATATGGGAACATCATGATTTCCTATTTGGAAAAGTCATAATTTTTCATTTCAAAATGATGTAATTAATTTTACATCACGGTACAAATTATTCCCTCCATCCAGGGTAAAGGTTCTCAGTTGTCTCTATTGCATGTCCCATTTAAAGGTTCTAATTTCTTTTTATTAGAAAATAAGTAACATTCTTAAATAACAACTTGACCGTCACATATTAGAAGCAATACACCCATATTATCACAATTATCACTATGAAATGCCAAATAGTACATAGGTTGTCATTTACCATATCAATATTTTTAACCCTCATTGCATCACAATTGTCACACCTTTTGGCTTTCCTTATGAAACTATTTTTATGGTAAAGCATTTATATTAAAATAATCATTACAAACATGAAGAAACTACTTCCTCCGTTCCCTTTTAATTACAATAGTCAATATTTCACGTTTGCCAACGCACAAGTTTGAACATTAATATCTTTAATTCCTTATTAGTAAAAATTAAAAAAAAATCATATTTTGAAAATTTAGAATGAGAAGAATTTAACAATATTTTTTTTAAAAAAAATTATAATATACATTAATTAATAGGAGTAAAATATAGTCAAAGTAGAATATGTAAATAGTGCAAAAGGTCCAGTCATCATTTTCATTTTTCATTTACCCCAGTGCCGCAAAGGCTCCCACCTACGGTGGGGTAAGGGGGGGTCGGATGTACGCAGCCTTACCCCTGTACTAAAGCACAGAGAGACTGTTTCCGGATGACCCGTAGTGAAAATTGCGTCCAAAATTGCATGGACTGACTGCTGCTTCATAACAAAGAAGCGCAGACAGTTTAGTGGGCCATTTTGCTTTATTCCATCATATTCTCAAGCCAAAAAATAATGAATCTTAGGCTCCATTGCAAATGATGGAAAAAGTCCAATGTTGCAATTAAAAAAGAACGGAGGTAGTATTATCTAAAGATTTAGCACTCAATGATCTTAAAAAAAAAAAAGATTTAGCACTCAATTCCAGCAATAGCTCTATTTTTAGATATAGAACCAATCATTCACGAAAGAGCAATTTGAAACACTAATCACTTATCGAGCATCTTAAAGCCCAATATGACCTTACTGGTAACCTTCAAAAGAACTCAACAAAAGTTCACTGCATCGATCACAAAAGCTAAACCAAAACGAACTAAAGTAAATAAAAGAAAAACATATAGTACAAATCGAAAATGGAAAATGGAAAGAAACAGAACAACTCGGATGAGCACCAATGATCCACAAACCAACCTAGTAAGATATTGACAAGGGGAAATTAAAGCACATCATTGACCATCAAACAAAGAGTACTTGCATTTAATTTGTCCAGCCACCAATTTCCTCTCAGAACACGGTGACAGTTTCGGAGGGTGGCGAATGACAGAAACTGCGTAATCGCCGCCATCCGATTCCGAAATCCTAGAAAAATTGGTGGCTGGACAAATCAAATGCAAGTACTCTTTGTTTGATGGTCAATGTTGTGCTTTAATTTCCCCTTGTCAATATCTTACTAGGTTGGTTTGTGGATCATTGATGGTCAATGC